TGTCTTGCGTGTTACCTGTAGAAAGCATGTTCGATATGTGTATGCACGCTGCAGAAAAGAATAGATCACGCACTTCTTATATTCAACACTTCCCTGTATCGAATATTTTCTCCATTGTATTTCAGGTAAGTCAACGTGGAAAACAGAAAACCGTTTCTTGCTTCTGGAGTGACTTTTTTTAAATAAATAACAATAATACTCAAAGAAATAAGCCGTTGTATCACATGGGATGTTTCTGGACTTGATTGGACTTGAGAGAACTTAACGGGACTTCAGCAGACTTCAATGGACTTGAGTGGACTTTAGCGGACTTTGGCGGACTTGGTGGACTTTAAAAGATCTGAGCGGACTTTAAAGTCTATAAAGTCCGCAGTTTCCCCCTTGGGAAAAACCCAGCTGAAACAGAAAAATTTCAGAAAAAAAAGCAGATCTATCAAAGCCGTGCGAGAAATAGTGATTTCCTTTTTTCTTTTCTTTTTGTTTTTCTTATACAGGTTATATATATATAGTGTGTGTGTACTCATGTTATAATGTGCGTTATATATATTTAACATATATATTAAGACTGTTCGGCTTGTCTGGCTAACGGTCCCCGTTTTTCACTCATTTTCAAAGAATGAAATCGTTGCAATAAAGCTAGGAACTAATTTCAAATTCGAAATAGATGATCTAGTAGAATAACTATTTCTCTAAAAAATGAGAAATATCTCGACTCTGAAAGCTGATTAGTTATGAAAATACAGTTATTTTACAGTTACTTTTTCAAATAGCTTCAAAAAGTCGATTTTGGGGCTATTTGAAAAAGGGTTTTGAGAGGGTGAAGACGATTGAGCAAATATTCTTAAAGCATACCACTTTGTAGAGAATTGTTTGCTCCACAAGATATGAGAGTTTTTAAAGTTGTAAACTATCTTAATTAATCTTCATTAATAAAAGAAAAACAAAGAAAATGGTAATGCACGCACATTTTTCGTGAGTGCGTTACCATTTTTTTTTTCTGTATGACTGCATGATAAACGTTTCGAGGGTTGATAAAAGCGTTTAGGAAAAGATATCGTAGATTAACCAACTTATTTTTTTTACAGTGTAGATTTCTGGTTTCTACCGATGACTATGATGCATGAATGGAGAAGAGCCTGATACGTTGAATACCAATTCTTACTGAGGGAGTCGATTTCTGATTTCCGGTTTTCTTCCTCTTTCATAGAGAGTTCTGGTATCAAAGTAAGAAATCAGAAATCAGAAATTTAGTAGAAACTGGTTGCCGTTTGAGATTTGCCATGACCTCTCTGTGATAGATTAGATATTCCTTCATTCTGCAGTTGTCAAACGACAGCCATGTCTCGACTCGAAAAGAAGACAAAGCTAGAGGTTTCTGCCACTGCTACAACAATGGTAAGCAGGAGCGTCTTGTCGACGAATCTTTCCAGGAACGTCTCTTTTTAGGACAAAGATGGAGACGGTGATCCAACACGGGTGATCGAACACTTCAACAGCTATTTACAGGATAATTACAAGACCTCTCCAGCCTTCTTCGTGGGTACACTGGAACAAGCCGTGAAAGCAGCTTTGCATCCCAATGCTCTCGAAGATGTTCGTCTTGCTCTCTCATGCTCATGGCATTGATCTTCTCTTTATTCTAGCGTCCTGACCTATCTTCATCATGACAAAAGTGTATTCAACCATCTTTTCTGTTCGGAAATCTTTTGCAAAGGCGGGCTAGTCGACTTCCTCCTGAAGAACTACATAGTCTGGCCGTGGGATATCACTTCAGACGCGAATCAAGCCAGACTGTGGAATGGTGGTTTCCTCTCTTTCTTGATTTGGTCATTCCTGGTCTTCAAATGGAACATTATCCAATGCTGATCGGAATCATGTTGCGTGGGCTCCGAGAAGAAGCGCGCTATCCTCTATCCAAATATTAGTCTCAAGTCTTACAACGATGTGATCTCCTACCACAGATAGAGAAAAGATCAACCATTGAGAATGTTCTCGACGCGCTGCGTACCTTCAAAGAAGAATCGCTTCGTAATCAGCAGTTTCTCATCCCGTTTGATTTTGTTCGATCCACTAAATTATGTCCAGATGTTGTCATCGAAATTATCAAATATCTCTCATTGGTCGACACCATCAATGCGTTCTCGCTGAGCATTCTTCGATTGCTACAAGAAGCACATGCGAAGTTTCATCTAGTCAATCCTTCGAACCCGTTGCTTCAGATAGTCGGTGACCATATCGATCCGAGACAAATCGTTTCGCTTCGTATCACTGACGATTTTCGGATCGCAGAGCACGATCTTCCAACCTTTCGGATCTTTGATCAACTAACCACTGTGACTTTACTTAGTCAATGGGGAACACATGTAATCGATAATCTCCGACGTTATTTACCCAATCTTCACCGTCTCTCCTTCTGGTTAGTTGATGATACCAACTCACACACCTTCAATGTTCTACGTGATTTTTGTTCTCCTCCGATCACACATCTTCAGATTCGTTGTCCAGACAATTGCTCTATTAACTTCCTGATTCGATATCAACAGCAGCATCACATGAAGAATACCACGATTACTTCTTTCGTATTCGATATGGAATACAATCCGAGATCTCGGGGCGAATTCCATCGTGACAGCAATGCGCCACGTCTCATCAGCTCAGTATTAGAATTCGTTCGATCACTGATCAACATTCAACGAGTGGGATTCGTGACCAATCAACATAAAATTCCGACTTTAATCGAACTCAGTCAATGGCAACGGTTGATGGTGCAATGCCTTTCTCTAGAGAGAGTGATCATACAGGTGACAGATAACGGAAACTTCACGCAAGAAGCGAGGAACGTCGAACAAGAGTTGCGTCAGCTGCGACCGGGATTTATGTTTCGAATAAAAAGTGCCTAGTTTTGATTCTTAGTCATATTCTATGATGTAGATGGAGCTTTCTTGACGGAGACAGTTGGGCGAATAGTTCAATCTTTGCTTCTAGGGAAACGATCACAGTTCTCAAGCCATTCCCCTTGCCACACTTGAGCAGACTGGGAACAAAGCATTCAACGCTCAGTCGATTGAAGATGTTCATCTTACTCTTTTTGTTCTTGATAGAATGGGTCTTCTAACCGTTCTAGCGGCGTCCACCTCTGATCTCTAGCCACAAGCTGTGGAGATTTTCGTATTCAATGGATACGTCTCCGACAACGTACTGATATTCTCTCCAAACCAAGTGGAATAGATTTACTCGACCGATTGTCGATCAGCATTGCCAAGCATTGGATCATATGGAGATTTCATAATCCTCATGCACAACGACAGGCGAGGAAGGTGAGTCATCATATCGTGCGCTCTCTTTCACGCTCGATTAAAACAATTGCTGAGTTCGTCGAGAAATTTGTTCTGATCAAATGAATAACTACGGCATCACAGGGTAAAAACCTCATCTCCGTGATGGAACACATATTCCTTTATTCTGTATTTTTCAAACGACAGCCATGTCTCGACTCGACAATAAAAGAAAACGAGAGTTTTCTCTCAGTGCCACTACCATGGTCAACAACAGCATATTCTCGACAGGTATCTTTTTATACGTCTCGTTCTAGGACAACAATGAAGACGATGATCCAACACGAGTGATCGAACACTTCAACAGCTATTTACAGGATAATTACAAGACCTCTCCAGCCTTCTTCGTGGGCACACTGGAACAAGCCGTGAAAGCAGCGTTGCATCTCGATGCTATCGAAAATGTGCGTTTTGCTCTATGCTTCTCATGACATTGATCTTCTCTTTATTCTAGCGTCGTCCACTCCTGATCTATCTGCATCACGAGGGAAGTCTGCTCACTCCTCTTTTCTGCGCGGAGATCTTCAGCAAAGAAAGACTGATCGAGTATCTCCTGGACAACTACCTTGTCTGGCTCTGCGACGCCACTACAGAAGCGAACAGATCGAAGTAAACGAAAATCATCATCACAATCTGACTTTCTTCTGTATTGAATAGATTTATTTGCTGCAGTGTGGACAACACTTTTCCTAATTCAAACTTCGCCGATCTTCGCGTTGAAGAATCTCCGATGTTGATTGGAGTGATGCAACGTGCTCCGCAAGAAAGGAGGGATCTTCCTTCATCTGATTTTCAAAGTCGCGTATTACTACGTCATGGTCCTGTCGCACTGACTGGTCTAAGGGGACAAAAGTGGACGTCTGGACTTCGTCGTACTTCTTTGTACTTCTCAGTATCTCTTGGCATTTCTCGGTACTTCTTGGTACTTCTGAAGTCCAGAAATGAACTTGTCCCCGCTCGGACTGGACACAGATCAACGTTAAACGCGCTCTTGCAAACATTGCGTACGTTTCGAGAAGAGTGGTGGTCGAATGAAGAGCTCCTTGTAAGTGTGACTGATTTCTGAACGTCAACATGATCCGATAGTTTAGTCGTTCGATTTCAGTCGAATGACTGGCTTGTGTCCGGATGTTCTGGTTGAAATCAGCAAATATCTGACGTTGGACGACACGATCAATACATTTTCGATCAGCATTCTCCCATTGCTTCGCCAAGCACACACCAAAGTGTATCTCGTCGATGCTTCAAATCGATTTCTACAAATCATTTCTCAACATCTCCAGCGGAGCCAAATCAGTTCCGTTTGTCTTTCTGCCAATCTCGTGGAATCGATATACGACTTCTCATCTTTCCGAGGTTTCGATCAACTGGTCAGTTTGACTCTGCTCAATCCACTAGGATTATATGCAGTCACTCGATTTTTATTATGGGTACCCACCGTGCGCGCCGTTTCTGCCGTTATCGGCTCCAGACATTCTTGCGAATCGATCGATGGCAAGAATTAATCTGCCGATGCGCTCATTTAGATCGAATTGTTATCCAACTGCTCGATGACGGAGATTTCCGACGACAGGCGGAGAACATCGAACAAGAACTACGACGGCTTCGACCGGGGCTGATCTTTCGAATAAAAAGTTCTTAATGAGAGGGTGAGGGTGAAACTTATTCTGTAGTACTCCAAAGTATTAGGACTGAAGAATAAAACATCTTCTCACATACTACAATGGAAAGAAAGTTCGCATTTCAGCGCAAACACTCGTCTTGATTAGATAAGGAAACAATGCGTCACTGAGGATAAAATCAACATGCCTACATTGATGAAGGTATTTATTCATCCTTCTTCCTCTACCTCAAGCAACAGTATCTCACGTTCTCGAAAAAAGCAAAACTGAGTTTTCTCCAATGCTACATGAATGGTCTACATCACCTGTCCTTCATACCGATGACAACCTCGGTAATGTTAATGTAAAACCGAGCACTCTTCCCAGTCAACTAGATACCGGTTAGTTGTTCCAAAGCTGGAAACACTTCATTGATTATTCTGTCGTTTCCTAGCAGTCCCTGAAGATGACAATCCAAGACGATTGATCGAGTATCTACAAGTCAAATTTCCAGCAAAACATGACGGCCACTCCCGCCTTTTTCCTCGGCACACTTAAAGATGCTTTGAATGCCGCAACCAGTCATATTTCGAAAGAAAAAGTTCGTTTCGCGCTCTACTGATGACTAGTATCGCCTTTCACTCATTCTAGTCCCAGCCATTACTGATCTATCTTCGTCACAACGAAAGTGCATTCAGTGATCTTTTCTGCTCAGAGATCTTCTGCAAAGAAGTCGCAGTCAATCACCTCTTGGAGAATTTCATTGTCTGGCCGTGGGATATCACTTCAGAGACGAACAAACGCAGGTAGTTGGGAATGAACCGAACGTGTTCAACTGGGTTTCTTTCTTGTCAGACTGCAGAAATGGTGGTCGAACGTCTTTCCTGACTCGGAGCTCCCTCACCTTCACACGAATGCTTGTCCCATGCTGATTGGAATCATGCAACATACCTCGAGCGAACTGGGTGATTTCTCTCTCTTCGAGTATCAAACGCCAGTCTTACAACGCTGTGATCTTTCGCTACAGACCAACAAAACAACAATGGTTAACAGCGTTCTCAAGTCATTGAGTACCTTTAGGCAAGAGTGGCAGTGTAACCAGCAGTTTCTTGTTGCGTTGGATGTTGTTCGATCTACTGGAATGTGTCCGGATGTTCTGGTTGAAATCACCAAATATCTTTCGCTGAACCATCAATGCATTTTCGATCAGCATTCTTCCATTGCTTCGCCAAACACATTCCAAAATCCAATTAAAAAATCCTTCTCATCGACTTCTTGAAATGATTCTTCGGTATGTCGATCCGCGACAAATCGCCTCACTTCATATCACTGACGAACTGTTGAAATTGGAGCGCAAGCGTGCAAGCTTTAATCAATTGATCAGTCTGACTGTTCTGATTCGAAGAAGCCCTAATGGGCTCGATTATCTCCTACGTCATTTACCCAATGTTCGCCGTCTTTCACTCAGGTATGATGAAAAAAGTTTCTCTTCGCGAAAATCCAAACAATGTCCTATCATTCCATCACTCGTCTTCATATTCGTTGTGCGCACATGATTTACAATGGGTGGTCCGGAAGTCCGACGTATTGTTACTCGAAGAATACCGCAATCACCTCTTTCATATTCGATTTCGAATCCAACCTTACGCATCTACGCGGACACATATCGCGAGACACGCTCCGAGGACTACAACCGCGCTTCTTCGAGTCGACGATGAAGTTTATTGAATCACTAGTCAATGTTCAACGAGTACGACTCATCACACATCAGTGTCACATCGAACCTCTTTTAAAAATCCACCTCTGGCAAGACGTGATCAATCAATGTGTTCGATTAGATCGAGTGATTATACAACTGGTGGATGATGGAGACTTTACACGAATAGAACACGACATCGAACAAGAACTACGTCTTAGTCGACCAGAAATGATCTTTCGAATCAAAAGTGCCTAGCGCCATCTAATTCTTGAGGATTTGGAAGACTGGTGGACAGAGCACCGGTCTGACCGTGATACAGCCTGACTCGACTGCATTCATCTTTCACTACAATTTCTATCTCAACGAGAACATCACTGCTTTTCTCTCTGAGATGGTTTTCTTCTTGTTGAGGGTGGGGTGACTCATCGTCTGGTCTATCCTCCTGTATAGCCGTCTCGCTCTCACTCCGTAATGACCAGTTTCACGTGTATTCATAGGAAGAAAATATTGATGATGCAGTTGGAATACTCATCTTTTCTCGGATGAGTTAATCGAGTAAACCAGAAGAAAAAATCAACTTGGTTGTGCGAACACACTCATTCCTTCGAACTGCTTCGATCAAAAAGAAGCAGTGTCTCAATTTGGCGATCAGAAGAGATGAGCGCTGCGTCCAGTGCTACTGAAATGGTAAGCAAGGGTGTGCTTTAGAAGAGAACTCCACACCCTAGTCGAACGTCTTGTAAGCAAGATCTTGGCCAAGATACCAGGTACAGAAATGTTAACAGATCTTGGAAATTTAGGTACAAGAAAATCAAACTATCTTGAACCAAGATCAGTGATCAGATCTTGCAACAAGATTCATTAGATCTTGGTTACAGATAGTTCAGATCTTGAGCCTAACAGCTTGTCTTTTATGATCTTGAGCTTGATCTTTAGTACAGAAAATCAGATCTTGGCTGCTAGTATTCAAGATTTCCTTGACTTGGATCACAGATTCTCTTCGACTGAATCCTTATTTATTGAATAAAAATACCTATTTGCACATTTGCTAAGATATGTTTACATTTGCTTCACATCGAAAAGGAAAAGAACTACAAAATAACACCGAGAGGACTCCAACGAACATCATCAAACAAGAAGTTTCAGTTCTATACATGAGCCACAGCGAGCTTCACTGTACAAGCAAGAGAAAGAAGCAAAGGAGTGGCTAAGACAAAGATCCAAAACGAGATGTTATCCACAAGAATTCTATCTAAAAAAGAGTTCATCTAAAACGTATTCAACAAGAGATTTGTTCAAGCGAGAACTAGAAATCGGGTCCAGGTTTTCTTTTCGGAAGAAAATCGATCGACTTTCATCAACGGATCGTAAAGTCAGTCGGAGAAAGCTAGATCGAATTTTGAATGAACATTCAAGTCCACTGCTCGGTCTTTGTTTCGCGCACTTTCAATCTTATTGGATGATGTTCATTCTCACCATAAAAAATCTCAATCATGAAAACCGAAATGAGAAAATTATTTGAGCATTATTCTATTGAGTAAGCATGAAATGCGAGCGAATTTTGAGATCTGTTCACTGGAGGTGTCGCTACTCGTTTTACCCAAGATCTTACGGAAAGGTCATTGAGGGTGGTAGTCTTTTCATGATCTTGACATCTTGAACAGATCTTTTCAAGATCTTCTGTAAAGATTCATCTGATCCGATTAAGATATGTTAAGATACATTTCATTCTTAAGATCTTTATTAGATCTTGCTTGCGCATCCCAAGATCTCCAGATCTTGCTTACAAGATGTTCGACTAGGGCAGTGAGTCTCTGTCTAGAATACTGACGATGGTGAAGTGCTCGAACTTGAGCAGCACAGACCATTCAATTACGGTGAGTCATTCAACAAGGAAGCGGATTCGTCAATGGCTGTTTCGATTTGTGGTGATGCGTGAAGACGACGATCCCACGGTGATGATCGAACATTTCAATCGCTATTTCCAGAAAAATAACGGTACTTGTCCAACTTTTTTCTCTGGCACTCTTCAACAAGCTGTGAACGAAACGTTTCAGACTAGATCAATGGAAGATGTTCGTCGTGCTCTGCACTTCTGATGAGATCGACCTTCCAATCATTCTAGCGCCGTCCACTTCTGATCTATCTACACCGCGAGGGAACTCCGTTTTCTCCTCTTTTCTGCGCGGAGATCTTCAGCAGCGACAGACTAATCGTGTATCTTTCGGCGAACTACCTGGTCTGACCTTGGAACATCCAAGGGGGAAAAAACTGATTTCTTGATTTCCAAGGATTTCTAAGGATTTCCGAGGATTTCTGGCACTAGAAATCAGTTTTTTCCCCCTTGATGATACCACAAGAAGAGACGATTGCTATTCTGAGGAGATCTCTTGTCCATTTTGGGTATACTCATGTGAAAGGTATGACGCTTGATGCTATCGAAAGTCTAGCACGCATCGTATTAATGGAAAATGTCTTTATCTATCAGAACAAATATTATCGCCAGACCAAAGGTGGTGCTATGGGATCAGCATTCACGTTAACCTTGGCCAATATATTCAAGTGGGATTGGGAACAGAAAATAGCTGAAAAGCAAAGAAAGTCGAATGAATTATACGGCCGGTAAGTTTAGAGCTTACAAAGTGAACGTTTCGATGATTTGATGGAACTTACTTTTCTGTTACTAGATACATTAATGATATGTTTTTCACCTCCAATGAATCAATTGAGGAGGTAACTAAAATGTTAGCAAATGCCAATCATCGTCATCCAAACATAAAACTAACTTCTACCATCGGTAAAAACGTCATTCCTGGATGTTCATGTAAAGAATACTGATCATAATTTGATTACTTCTGTGCATCATAACGAAGCTGCTGAACCTGATGTTGTCCCGTTTCGATCTGATCGTCCTCGACATGCCTTTGTCAATATTATTGAGTGTGCACTCCTGCTTGCTCTTCGTTACTCATCAACATTGAAAGAATTCAATCATGAACGGCGGCGTATTAAGTTATTGTTACTCTACAACGAGTTCGTATCCAGATGATCCATCGCTTTCATTGTTTCAAAAATCTAGACATTGACTTTTTCACCTTTTAGTTATCCGGCGAGATAAATTCATAGTCGATTCAATAAATTCTATGCTACGTAGTCTATTTTATTGACCTCAATCACGCCCATGTTCTTGATGAAAACGAATTTCAATTCTTACGCCATCAACTGATGAAACAAGCAACGATGCACGAACACAGATGAGCAGCACGCATCGCTAAAACAATGGATTACGATGATTTCCCCGCTAACGTCGATCCATTAGTCAAAGCAAAGTTACTCAAGCGACAAGAACGTGCCAAGCCAGCTATTCTTCATTACACACATGAACAACTTTTTTCTCATTACAAACGTGCCATTCATCAAATGTAGAATGATACCTTTCATAACACACCCCTTCAAACAGCAACCGTCATTGTCGGTACACGAAATAACCCGAATCTTGCCAAAGAACTTGTCCGTCGTAATCCCTTCCCAAGAACAAAGATACAACCACTACACGGCCCACTACCAACTGAAGTCTCCGCTTTCCTATCGCTATTCTTCTCCTTTGATGGAATCCTGTCCTTTTCGATTCTCTTTCCGCTATTCTTCCTTATTTGCCGGCCCCCTTCAAACACATTTTCGATTAACAGCAGAAAAAATAGTGTCCAATTATTTCTTTCAGATAAAGCCCATCTAATAGGAAAGTTCCAAGTATCAAGAATTAATACATCCAATTACTCTACTATCTTAAACCTTATACAACACCAAACTCTCACCATATCCAATCCTTCAGTAAAAAGTGAAACGAACAACTGAGGAAACTCACTGCAAACGAATTCATCTGCTAACAGACACACGAAATCTGGATCTTGGCATTCAGAAACTCACACCCTCAGACCATCTAAATTAGTTTTTCAACCCTTTTTTTATCTTTTAAAGTGCAGCGAAAGGTGAGTTTACAAAAAAGAAAATTACGAAAGTCGATTTTCTTTGTCACTTTTTTGTGCATGAGTCAGTTGAAAGTGTGTATTGCGCAATCAGCAAAATAATTCGGCAATTGTGTTCTTTCGAAATTCAACAGAGAATGATTTTGTTAAAAACAAGTATCTTGTTTTCTATTCTATCTGTGAAAAAGTAAAATTTTTCTTATTGAGATCAATAGCGATACTTAACCAAGGGTCTTCCTAGACATATCTTTATGGATATAAAGCTTATATATGCCTCTATCACTGGTAAAAAATCAGATGCTTTGATAAAAGTTTTAATGGGGATATTCAATTTTCTTGTTGGTGCAAAACTTTTGGCTCCCCCCTGTATTTCACCGATAAAGCTGAACACTTCTATGTTTTTTTAGAATTGTTGACATACCTCGCTTGAAAATGGCTGAGAGCATCTCAGAATCCGACGTGACGCAACAACTTTTAGCCATGTTTTACGAGATTAGAACGACACTGAGAGAGAACGAAATTCGAATCTCCCAAAACTTTCCTATCGTCGAAATCGACACCAATCTAAGTGGTGAACTCAATTGTTTGGGGCGCACGCAAATTGAAGACGGCATGGTTCGTTGCATCGAAATGCTTCTAAAAAAACCCGGAACGGATGTGTTTTACTCCAAAGAAGCTCTGATCGCAACGCTTCTTCACGAATTTGGACATTGTATTACTCCTCCATCGATCGAAGACCATCATTCGAACCTTTTTTACTCCAACTTCGAGAAAATTCTCAGGTAAGATTTGAGAGTATTTTCGGCCTAATCCACTGAATCTCAGACACGTTTTTCCTAACAAGCTGATTTTTTTTCGAAGTTATAGAACTCGATGTGAAGAACATTTTTTAACAACAAACTTGGGACAAAATCTCACAGCATCATAGACTTTTTTGGGTCTGAAAAGTCTGGTTTTCCGCTATTGTGGGCTAAAATAAATTTCCGTTAATTTTCATCGTAGAAAATTGGTAACCCTAAATTCTGAAACATTTCAGCGAGTTGATTTAGGATATTGATATGAAAAAATTTTCTCATCCTTCTGTTGGTTCTTGACCAGCCATCACATTTTATCCTCGGAAACCCTATTTTTCGGGAAGCCTTTTTCTCGCACCGAAATAAGTTCAAACCCAAACAATCTAGATTCGTTAGAAAGCGCATGAGTTGCTCTATTTATTGATGCATTAATAAAAGTTTAGCGTCAAAAATTGAAGATACCGCATGAATCATA